AAACGGACGAGTGGGAAAATGAGCCTCGATGATCTCCATCGACGTGTCCGTGAAAACACTTCGTCTCAAACAGTCGCGCGAATAACAAATAAAACAGTCACAATAGGCGAGCGAAAGAACGACATTGTACATCGATCTACTCGGCACCGTAACAATAAATCTCGATCTTGAGAATTAAAATTAATTGCATGTGTTACGTGGATTCCCCGTCACATCACAGTTGGGCGAGACGATACGATTAAAATCATTACGGACAGCAATTACTCGCATCACACATACGAGATCACATATATTTCGTACAAATTATTGGTCCTTCGAGCCGGATTATATTATTCTGAAAAGACGGTGTATACGAGTGATAAGGTCGAAGCAAAGGTGCAACGGGCACGAGGAAGTTCGTTCGTCTACAAGGCAGACAATTTGACTAGGAAGGAAGTAAATAAGGCGCATGCTGCCGGGCGTCGGGTTGCATTGCGATACATATTCGCGGATCGCTGAGGACGATTCCGGATTCGGAGCAGCATCCCGAGCAGTAACGTGGCACATAGACGCAAGTAAGGTGACGACGTGACTGGTAAGTCTGTTTATCTGCACCAATCAATTATTACGTATTCAAGTTTGGATCACGCGATTTTGAAATTATGCCTCTCGGTCATAGCCCAGCGGCGGGCTCGTCCAGCGCAGAGACGCCTCGTGCATCGTCTAATTTAGCCGATTACAAACGACGGCGCGGAATGGTTAAGGGCTCATGCACGCGTATGGAGACTTTTTAAACAATATAGTCACATTAACCGACGATACCCGAGCGCAGGTAGAAATTCGTCAAACCCGTCTAGAATCGTTCTGGGAGGATTATTGTAAAATACAAACGCAAATTGAAATGATCGACGCGGAGGAGTCAAACGATAGAATCGAGTTCGAAGATTCATTTTATGCATTATGTGCGCGATTTCGCCGACTTTTACAATGCGACAATCAATCGAGCGCGCGAAGAGGTTCCACGCAGAGTTCGACAAGAGTCGAGAGCGAGGCTATATCTCATGTACGATTGCCAAAAATTAATTTGCCAATTTTTTCGGGAAAATACGAAGATTGGTTTCCGTTTCGAGATACTTTTATAACGATAATTCAAAATAACACGTCGTTGAGCGATGTTCAACGGTTTCAATATTTACGGGCATCGTTAACGGACAAGGCACTCGACATTGTGAAACCTTTAGAAATTTCTGGAAACAATTATGACCTTGCGTGGAGCCTCTTAAAAGAACGATACGATAACAAACGCGTGATTATACAAACTCATGTGCGGGCAATATTTGAATTGCCAGTTATAACAAAGGAAAATGCGATCGACCTTCGGCAATTAGCTGACGGGGCATCGATACATATTCGCGCGTTAACGGCATTAAATTGTAATGCCGATAAATGGGATGCTTTGCTTATTCATATTATAACGTCTAAATTAGACGCAATTACGTCGCGTGAGTGGCATGCTTCGTTGCAGGGCTCTGAATTGCCCACATTTAAGGAGCTAATTACCTTTCTTTCACATCGCAGTCAGATTCTGGAAGAATCCGCGAGAAAGAGTTCGATCTCGTCCGTTCGCTCCGACTCTCGATCGCAATCGCGTTCTAACGTTGGACGTCAAGCATTGCACACGACTGTCGAGAGGGGCAAGTGCAATTATTGCGCCGGCGAGCATTTAATTTATTTTTGCAAGGAATTCTTGAAACTGCCAATCAGCCAGCGAATCGCGGAAATGCGTAGCAGGAGAATGTGCCTCAACTGTTTGCGTAGTCAAAATCACATTGCAACCAAATGCCCTTCTGGCAGTTGCAGAACGTGCAATTTAAAACATAATACGTTATTGCATATACCCAAGAATGAGAGAGAGATAAATAACGCGGGCGCGTCGTCGGTGCCGATCGACTCGTCGCCGATCGCGGACGGGCGATCGGCCGTCGCGACTCACAGCGCGGTCGAGCGAAGCGATACGGAGGTGTTGCTCTCGACGGCGATCGTTTATTTATACGATGCGAACGGTGCTCGCAGGACATGCCGTGCTCTGTTGGACTCAGGGTCACAGGTGAATTTCGTGACAACCAAATATGTAAAGTTGTTGGGTTTAAAACCGCAATCCGTAAATTTCTCGGTGTCAGGCATATACGGTGACACATCTATTTCGAACGAAAACGTAGACATCAAACTACAATCGCGATTCAATTCATTCGCGGCTGAGATCGAGTGCATCGTGGCGGAGCGAATCATAAGGGACAAGCTTCCGTTAAACACTATTAAACGTGAAAAATTCAAACTGCCTTCCAGCGTCGAGTTGGCGGATCCGCGATTCAACGTGTCGTCGGACGTCGACTTGTTAATAGGCGCCGATCTATTTTGGCGATTGTTGTGCGTGGGGCAGATTCAGGCGACTTCCGGGTATCCGATCCTTCAAAAAACACGTTTGGGGTGGATTGTGGGCGGACGCGCACGCGTCGGTGCATCGCGACCGGAGACTGGGCTGCACTCGTTTCACGTATCAATTAGCAATTTAAAACTTCACGAACAAATCGAACGATTTTGGCGGATCGAGGAGTTAGGCGATTCGAGTCATTACACCAAGGACGAGCGCGCATGTGAAACCCATTTCATAAACAACGTGTCAAACAATAACAAGGGCAGATACATCGTGACGCTGCCCATCAAAAACGATATTTTGCAAAGGCTGGGAGACTCGCGCGAAATAGCAATGAAGCGATTCCTCGGTCTTGAAAGGCGACTTCATCGTGACTCAAATATGAGGACTTCATATGTTCAATTTTTACGCGAATATTAGCCTTGGGACACATGCGACTCGTACCCGCACATGCGGTCGATAGGGAATCCGTTTATCTGCCTCATCATGGGGTGTTTAAGGGGATCGGCCGGAATGCAAAGTTACGTGTGGTTTTTGACGCATCGTGCAAAACCACGTCGGGAATTTCTCTGAATGACGCCTTGATGATAGGTCCTACGGTTCAGCAGGATTTAATATCAATTATCACTCGTTTCCGCACGTTCGCGTACGTCTTTACTGCAGACATAGTTAAAATGTATCGACAGATACTTATCCATGAGTCACAGCTACATCTGCAACGAATATTGTGGCGCGAGAACTCGAATTCGCCGGTCGGTACTTACGAGTTGCTTACCGTTACTTACGGCACGAGCTCGGCGCCGTTTCTCGCAACGAGATGCCTTCAACATTTGGCACAAAAACATGCCCTCGATTATCCTGCGGGGGCGCAATGCGTTCTTCGGGATTTTTATGTAGATGATTTACTCGCGGGCGCCAATACATTGTCCGAAGCGGAGCGCATTCGTGACGAGGTGATAGCCTTATTAAAGCGCGGACAGTTTGAGCTCGGCAAATGGTCATCGAATTGCCAAGAACTGTTACAGGGCATTAGTGACACAACGAGTGCGGAGGTGTTATTAGGCGATGAATCGAGCTCAAAAATATTGGGAGTCGCATGGGATCCGTCCAGCGACGGATTTCGCTTCGGATACAATTGCGGCGCACCGACGAGTAGCATAACGAAACGGACGATCTTGTCGGAAATCGCGAGTCTTTTCGACCCTTTGGGTTTATTAGGGCCACTGACAGTTGTGGCAAAAATGATTATGCAAGATACGTGGCAGTCTAACGTCGGGTGGGACGAGTCGTTGCCGCAGGATTTGCATCATCGATGGCTGAACGTAAAGCAACAATTGACGCGCCTTTGCAAATTGCGTGTGCCGCGTTTTGTCGGATTTCGAGCGGACACGCACAGATCACAGGTACACGGCTTTTGTGACGCGAGCGAGCGTGCATACGGCGCGTGCGTATACATAAGAACGCGCGATTCCGACAGATACCGGGTGGAACTTTTAATTTCTAAATCACGAATAGCACCAATTAGAGCAGTTTCGTTACCGCGACTAGAATTAAATGCCGCGTTATTGCTATCACATTTAATCGAGAAAATTCGCGCATCGATTGATTTATCGAAATTAGAGATAATTTTATGGACGGATTCCACAATTACTATTCAATGGATATCGTCGCCGTCGCGTAAATGGAACGCTTTCGTGGCCAATCGCGTCGGTGAAATTCAGCGCCTTACCAGGAGATCGAGTTGGCGGCACGTGCCGTCCGCTCACAATCCCGCGGATATATTATCGCGCGGCGTCGACCTGGCGGGCTTAATGCAATCGACAATTTGGTGGAACGGACCTGCATTCCTGCAGTTAACTGAGGAACATTGGCCGGTCAAATTATGTGTCGACTTGTCGGGCGAGTTACCGGAACAAAAAAGGGTAACCGCAGCGGTGATAGCCATACAACAATCGATCGTACTAAATTTGTTGGACAAACATGCCACTTTAGACAGGGCATTGCGAATCATCGCTTACTGCCTGAGAATAGCGCGTTCGCGTACGATCAAATATCAAACAACGTTTATTTCGCACCACGAAATAACAGCAGCTCTGCGAGTCGCGGTGAGATGCGTACAGAGACATGCTTTTTCAAGAGAGCATAAACAGTTGACCGAGGGTCGGAGCGTTGACGGCGGAAGTCGCATTCTGTCATTGACTCCGTTTATGGATGAACACGGGATCATTAGAGTGGGGGGCCGAATAAGCAATGCAGCATTGCCATACGACGCGCGGCATCCCATGCTATTGCCGAAGAGTCATCGATTGACGACCTTGATCATACAGCGAGAGCATGTAAAAAATTTGCATTCAGGCCTACAGGCCACAATGCATGCGATGCGTCGACGATTTTGGCCTCTGGCGGCGCGTTCGGCTGTTCGAAAAACAATTTACAATTGCGTAACCTGCTTCAAGTGTAAGCCGGTTGTATCGCAAGCATTAATGGCAGATTTGCCCGCGCAACGCGTGACGGCTTCGAGACCGTTCACGCATAGCGGCGTAGACTATGCCGGGCCCATACTCTTAAAAGAGGGCAAGAGACGTAATGCCAAATTACACAAGGCATATATATCGGTATTCGTTTGTTTCTCGACCAGGGCCGTACACCTCGAAATTGTAACCGATTTAACATCGGAAGCGTTCCTTGGCGCCTTTAAACGCTTCATATCACGTAGAGGCAAACCGGCGTGCGTATATTCAGATAACGGCACTACGTTTGTCGGCGCGCGCAAACAAATAAAGGAGCTGTATGACTTGATTAACGACAACAACACGCAGCTTGCAATGCGGCGTTTCATGCGTGATAACGAAATCAATTGGCATTTTATACCACCCCACGCTCCACATGTCGGGGGCCTGTGGGAGGCGGCCGTAAAGTCGGCGAAATTTCACATTAACCGAATAATAGGTAACGCGAATCTCACATATGAAGAGATGCAAACCGTGTTATGCGAGATAGAAGCGGTTTTAAATTCGCGACCGTTGACGCCGTTAAGCGAGGATCCAAACGATCTGCATTGTATTACGCCGGGACATTTCTTGATTGGTGCAGCGCTAAACAGTTTCCCAGTTGCAGATCTTACGAAGGAAAATCCGAGCCGACTACTGCGATGGCAACGCGTAGAACAGCTTCGGCAACATTTTTGGAAACGTTGGAGCACCGAATATCTACACACTCTAATCGAGCGACAAAAATGGAAAGCTAGCAAGGGCCAGCAATTGAAAATCGGTCAGCTCGCCATGGTACAGCAACCAGGCTTGGGACCGCTGCAGTGGTTAACAGGCAGGGTGCAACAACTTCATCCGGGCCCTGACGGTATCGCGAGGACGGCCACATTAAGGACCGCAAAGGGTCAATTAACAAGGCCGCTAACGAAGCTAGCTATCCTTCCGATAGACGAGGCATCTGCCGATTAAACGCGTGTTACATATTGTAAATTTTAATCATGATTTATTTGATCAATTTTGACTTCGAGTAGATCGATCGCGAGTTAATGAAGATAACAATTTATTGAGACAATTTGACGAGACAAATTTGTTTATTGTAAATTATGATGTGCGAGTGTGTCATTTCAAGTTCTATTTATGTTGCTATTTATTCTTTATTTATATTTCAATTTAGGACACCACATGTGCATCGAGAATAATAATTTACGTGTTGAAGGCATGCCCTTCAAGGGGGGCGGGATGTTCGATACACGAACTATATAATTTACGCCGAACACCGCTCGCGATGATATCACTGTTTTCGTTTTCGTCTCATCTCGGTCAAATTCGGCGTATTCCGAAAAACACGGACGAGTGGGAAAATGAGCCTCGATGATCTCCATCGACGTGTCCGTAAAAACACTTCGTCTCAAACAGTCGCGCGAATAACAAATAAAACAGTCACAATAGGCGAGCGAAAGAACGACATTGTACATCGATCTACTCGGCACCGTAACAATAAATCTCGATCTTGAGAATTAAAATTAATTGCATGTGTTACGTGGATTCCCCGTCACATCACAGTTGGGCGAGACGATACGATTAAAATCATTACGGACAGCAAATTACTCGCATCACACATACGAGATCACATAATATTTCGTACACCTCATGTTTATTAAAAATTTGTTTTATACTTATATATTTTATATTATAGAAAATAATTGATTTATTTGAAAATAAATGTTATGTATATTTTGTCGCACAAATTTCAATTTATTTCAACTTTAGATCTAGTGTTATAAAAAGCAGGAAAAATATATTTTATAAAAAGCCACAAAAAACTGTTTTTCGGAAAAAAACAGAAAAATATTGGAATGCAAAAGTGGCGCTCCTAGCGATAAAAATGAAACTACTAGTTGTATTTGTATTACGTTTTACGTTATTTATGTTCATTTTATTTCATATGTGATAATATTGTCTAAGTCACAAATGTGTTACAACTCATAACACTAAAATATTTTTGTTTATTTTATATTATTATTTTATAAAATTTTATTATTTTTAATGTAAAATAAATGATTAAAGTCAATTTACTCAATTTTTATGTTTGTTTTGTTTTATTATACATGTTATAAATTATAACTATACCTATATATGTATTTTCATCTTTAACTAATCATTCTTAGGAATTATAAAAGCCCCTACGTCCGCAATAATAATCCAGCCAGCATTAAATTAAATAATCTAAAGAAAAATATTTTTCCATATTTTTCCAGAAAAATTATCGAAAACAAAACCAAAAACGTTTCTTCCATATTTTTTGTTTTTTTTTTAGATCTATTTTATTTCCTTTTGTACTCAATTTTCTCTTTCAGACGGAGATGATAAGAAATAAAGGTTATCCCGCAGAAACTCACGTTGTAACGACGGAAGATGGCTATCTTTTGACGGTACATCGTATCCCAGGTGGTAACAGCTCTCTACCAGTATTACTAATACATGGTCTTTTAAGTAGTTCCGCCGATTTTTTCGTTCTTGGCAAAGGCAAAGCACTCGGTACGAATATAATTATAATTTATAAAAACTTATATTAAATAAAGAGTCTCGGGATATATCAGCATTAATAAAAGATAATTATCTTTTATTAATGCTGATATATCCCGAGACTCTTTTATTTCGATTGTAGCGAAGCATTCAAAAATATTATACAATCTTATATAAAATAATATAATGTTATATATATGTGTAAAATAATTATAAGTTACGTAATAAGAATGTTTCTTTTTCGCATGCTAGGTTTCCTATTAGCGGATGAAGGATACGATGTTTGGTTGGGCAATATGCGTGGTAATCTCTATTCAAGAACACATATTTCTCTATCTCCGTCGAACTTGACATTTTGGGATTTTAGGTACACACATAAAATCAAAATAATGACTTTGAAAATGACATAATAAAAACGCAACAACTAGATTGATTTATATATGATCACTTATACATATATAATTATATATACAAATATATATTTTTTTATTTATTTATATATAATATATATATTTATATATACTCAGTCTAAAAAAGCGGTACACTTAAAATTTGGAAAAATCACCAAATTTCAAATAACAATAACATTGTAAATAATAAAAATAGAAAGATTTAAAAAAATGAAAATAATCCGTTATTTTTAATATCTCGCAGCATTGAAATGAATAAATTCTTAAAGAGATTCCAAGCTTTATTTTTATTTTTTAGAAATCTTTCTGTCTTTATTATTTATGAAATTATCGTCATTTGGAATTTGGTGATTTTTTCCAAATTTTAAGGGGATCCTAAATGATGTTTTTACCGACCGAATGCGAATATTTAGTTTTTATTAATAACTTTTTATTGACTTTACTAATGAATAAATCCTTTTCCACGATTAAAGTATTATAAAAACGAACCGCGTTAGCTATAATTGCATATATAAATCATATAAAAATAAAAAATTACAGTTTCGTTATCGGCTGCTTTGTGTCAGTTCGTAACAATACTTATTTAATAAAAAGTACTGCAGTTTGTCTGTGCATGAAATATAGTATACGCGGTAAGGATAATATGAAGAAATATTAGTAAGCAATTAAAAGTGAGATTGCAATCTAATAAAAAAGTTATATATAAAAAACATTTCACGCATATGTGTGTGTGCAAATCGAGGCTGCGGAATAAAACAGAGCAGTAGATTAGTTGCGTGATATCGTGATAGATGGAGCTGCAACGTGTTTCTCTCTCTCTCTCTCTCTCTCTCTCTCTCTCGCTCTCTCTCTTTCTGTTTTTTATAAGGTCTGTTCGTTTTGGCTACACTGGCCACATTAGTTCAGAGGTTGTCTTTTTTGTTCGACATTGGAAGGAAAAAGATAACCTCTGAATTAGTGTAGCCAATGTATGCCATTATATATTTTATGTTTGATAATATAAATAATACATCATTTTTTTCTATAAAAATTATATATAAAACAGAAAAAATTTTGTGTTATTTATATTATCAAACACATGAAATATATAATGACATACAATTTTATTTTAATTATATTTGTATAATACAATAATATTCACATGATTTTTATAGATAATAAGTATATGCATTTATAATTTATAAAAACTAAATCTTATTTTTCATACATCGAAGTAATTCGAGTAATGATTTTACTGAAATATATATTTGATAGACATTGTGATTCTAACGAATTTTATTTGTTCGCATATACCTGTAAATTGTTATAAAAATTACTTTTACTGTAAATGTAAGATAAATTGTATGCAATCTATAAAACAAAAAGAGAGAGACAGAGAGAGAGAGAGAGAGAGAGAGAGAGAGAGAGCTTTTTTTACTTTCCCGAAAATAGAGACATTCAATGCAAACGGTGAATTGTATATCTCTTTACGACACGTACAGCCGGGGAAAAATTTTTTATATATAATTATATAAAATAATTGTATAATTATACATATAATTTTGCGATTATATGTATAAAATTATACAATTATTTTAATATAATTATATATAAAAAATTTTTTCCCGGGTTGTATGTGTCGTAAGGAAATATATGTATAATTGATCGTTTGCATTGAATGTCACTATTTTCTGAAAAGTAAAAAAAGAGAGCTCTCTCTCTCTCTCTCTCTCTCTCTCTTCTTGATCCTTTATGCTTATTGTTAGTATTCTATCAATTAGTAATCAATGCAATCAATCATATCGTTTTACGGCAACAGCCAGTTACTCGTTCACTCACTCATTCATTCTTTTAAAATATGTCCATTTTTATACATAATTATGTAAATTTATATATAAAAAATAAGGGTGCATATATAATCATGTCAAATTTGTATATAAAACATATATATTTATATATATAAAGAAATACTTATTTATTACACTTGTATATATATATATATATATATATATATATATATATATATAAATTTATATAATTATATATAACAAGCACTTTTACTTAATTATGTATAGACATATTTCATAATATAATTCTGCGATTATACGTATACTTTTATATATTTCTATATAATGTTATATTATTATATACACAAATTTTTGTCCCGGGGTATTTTAAACTTT